ATTGTGTACTATAGTAATCTTTCAGGATACTGTCAGTCGTTTTAAAGATGAATATATTTACAGACACATCATAGACACTGAACTGAAGGAACATGTGTAAGATGAAACAGCATTTGGACTTTAGAACCATGTACTTATTACATGTTCTTAAAGTTTGGGCTACAGTGCATGATTCCGACTTGAAGTTTTGAGTTATAAAAATTAGCGAATTTTCAGAAGAAAAGCAAAGACTATAGCCTTGGGTTTTTTCCAAAAAATGGCTCCAAAATCACCCCAAATTTTTATTACATTTTCTGATACATATTGATGTCCTTATGCTGTGTAGCAAGTTTGAGCTGATTCCGACTTCAATTTTTCAAGTTACGGCCATTTTAAGAAAACGTCAAAATTCTGAAAAATACCCAAGGCTATAGCCCATGGGTTTTTCCCAAAAAATGGCTCCGAAATCACCCCAAATTTTTATTACATTTTCTGATACATATTGATGTCCTTATGCTGTGTAGAAAGTTTGAGCTGATTCCGACTTCAATTTTTCAAGTTATGGCCATTTTAAGAAGACGTCAAAATTCTGAAAAATACCCAAGGCTATAGCCCATGGTTTTTCCCAAAAAATGGCTCCGAAATCACCCCAAATTTTTATTATATTTTCTGATACATATTGATGTCCTTATGCTGTCTAGCAAGTTTGAGCTTATTCTGACTTCAATTTTTCAAGTTACGGCCATTTTAAGAAAATGCTTAAAATCTGAAAAATACCCAAGGCTATTATAGCCCATGGTTTTTTCCAAAAAACGGCTCCAAAATCTCCCCAAATTTTTATTACATTTTCTGATACATATTGATGTCCTTATGCTGTCTAGCAAGTTTGAGCTTATTCTGACTTCAATTTTTCAAGTTACGGCCATTTTAAGAAAATGCTTAAAATCTGAAAAATACCCAAGGCTATTATAGCCCATGGTTTTTTCCAAAAAACGGCTCCAAAATCTCCCCAAATTTTTATTACATTTTCTGATACACATTGATGTCTTTATGCTGTGTAGCAAGTTTGAGCTGATTCTGACTAAAACTTTTTTATTTATGACCATTTTAAAAAAATTAGCATATTTTTGCAAAAAAGAAAGGACTAAAGCTTTGGGATTTTTTTTGAAAAATGGCTCCGAAATCATCCGTAATTATAATTATTTGATAATATAGATGTACTTATGTCATCATTATTTTGCAGATTTCTCCATTGGTTGCACACATTGCAACTTCACGATTTCTACAAGAGCAGACAAGATCAATCAACAACTCATACCCATGCCACTGAAGCTGATTCTCATACCTCTGAAGCTGATTCTCATACCGCTGAAGCTGATACCCTTACCACTAAAGCTGATTCTCATACCACTGAAGCTGATATTCATACTACTGAAGCTGATTCTCATACCACTGAAGCAGGAGAAAGTACTGAAGACCAGACTGATGCTAAAACTATTGCTGTGGCAGATACAGAGTCAAAAATTTAAAATTTACACAGAAAATTTGTCAATTGTATGGG